AGTGCTTCTTAGAGGCCAGGATGGCCAAACTTCATCTGTCATACTTTGGACATACTGTCAGGAGGGACCAGTAGATGGAGAAGGATATCATATTTGGTAAGGTGGAGGGTCAGAGAAATAGAGGAAGGCCCCCAGTGAGATGGATTGGCCAAGTGGCAGCATCAATGGGCTTAAGCGTGACAACACTTGTGAGGCTGGCCCAGGACCGGGCAGTGTTTCGTTCTGTTGTACATAGGGTGTCTATGAGTCGGTACCGACTCGATGGCACCTAACAACATTATAGTTCCATAGGATAAGTACTGGACCGCAAATCACATGGTCAAGTGGTTTAAGTCCACCTGCCACTCTGAAGGGGAAAGATGAGGTTTTCTGCTCTGCAAAGATTTACAGACTCAGAAAAACCCTATACCAGCTATCTGTCAGAACCAACTCGACAGCACTTAACAAAAGCAATTAGGGTAGTGCAGTGGGTTAAGCATTGGGCTTTTCATCAAAAGGTCAGAGGTTCACACCCACCAGCTGCTCTGTGGGCAACAGATTAGGCAGTCTGCTTCCATAAAGATTTACAGCCTCAGAAACCCTATGGATTAGCTGTACTATGTCCTATAGGGTTGCTATAAATTGAAATCAACTAAATGGCAGTGGGTTTAAAGTAACAATTAAATACAACATGTGATTCTAGAATGTACCTTGCACTGAATTTTCCCTCCTATAAAAACAATTGGAAAAGTGTGAGTAAAATGTATAGATGACTATTAATTTCTGACTTGGATAAATGTATCGTGGATATGGAGTCCCTTGAGGGGTGCAAATGGTTAGTGCATTTGACTTACTAGCTGAAAGGTCTCAGGCCTGAATCTACCCAGAGGTGTTCTGGAATAAAAACCTGGCTAGCTACTTCTGAAAAGTCAACAATTGGAAACACTGTGGAGCGCAGTTCTCTTCTGTACACACAGGGTCACCGTGAGTCAGAATTCACTGGACAGCAATGGTTTCTTGAGGATGTTTTTGGTTTAATATGGATATATAAGAGAAACACACACACTGAAGTATATAGGAATAAAAGGACATCATGTCTGCAACCTACTCTCAGATGGTGGGGCGTAAGAGAATACTACTGTGTCCTATATGAATGGCAGTAATGGTTCATATTATATAGTAATTTTTTTGTCCCAAGGTACTGCTCTAAGTACTTTTCATATATTCACTCAATTACCTCTCACAATAACCCTATGGGGTAGTGACCATTATTCCCATTTGACATGTGAGGGGACTGAGGTACAAAGAGATTAAATTCAGAGTTAGTTAGCAGTAAAGCCAGATTGTCCGGCTTTTAGCCTCTCTTATTAAGACAGTATTCTACAGATTGATGGATGGATGGTTGGACAGGGAGATGAGAGTAATATTAACACAAATGTGGTAAAATGCTAGCACTTTGAAAATCTAGGTGAAGAATATATAGGAATTGTTTGTATCATTTTGGTAACATGAATATAAAATGACTTCAAATTAAAAGGATTAAACATTTAAAAAAATTATGGCTATTTAACTGGCATGGACACTGAATAGATGCTGGTCATGAATAAGTGGACAGTCCTAATGGTGGTATGCTCAAGAAACTGTGGAAGCAGAAAAAAAAAAAAGGCCCATCGAAGGTCCTGAGGAAGGCTGTCCCAGGCAGAGGGAACAAGGAGGACAGTGGCATAGACATGAGGAATTGGGCTGGGGGCCGGGACATCTTAAAGGCTAGAAATTCAACTTTCAAAAACCTGCCAAGGAAATGCTATGGATCATACAGACCTAAGTTCATTATGAATTGGGGCAACTCACCAGCTAACAAAAAAAAGCAGTAAGGGCACATGGACTTGATTTGAATTCCAGCTCTGCCATATACTCTGCCCACTGTGTTTCAGACTGTTACTTATCATCTTAGTTCTATAAGAGAATGCCTCCCTCATAGGGAGGCAGTAAAACACCATGCTTAAAAGTCAACAGCCTAACTTACCAACTAGGAAATTAAACAAGTTATTTAATCTCTCTACACCTCAGTCTTCTCATATGTAAAATGGAGGTAACAGTCTCCACGCAGTTGTTACCAGGATTAAATTAGTTAATATATGTTAAGTATTTAGAACAGTGTCCCAGAGCAACAATAATAATAATATATATATATATATATATGTTATATAACTATGAGCTACAAGGGAACTTCAAAAAGTTCATGGAAAAATAAAAAATTTCCATGAACTTTTGGAAGCTTCCTTGAATTGCTATCATGTGGAATGAGATAATAAAAGTCACTCTTGGGGAGATCACTTCTTCAGTTCAAACCCTTCAATGGCTTCCCATTTTTCAGAATTAAAAAAATCAAGATCCTTACTTCAGCTACAAAGGCTCAATATAGCTGGTCTCATACTACCTCTCTCCTCTCTTCTCCTCCCTCTCTCCCTACTCCCAGAACGCTAGCTGTAATGTCCTCCTTTTTTCTGCCCCAGGGCCTTTGCAGGTGCTACTCTTCCTCCTCTGGGTCACTTTTCCCTCAGAGAGTTACATAGCTCCCTCCCTTACTTCCTTCAGTCTCTCCTCACCTTCTCCATAAGGACTTCTCTGGCACTATCTGAAATAGGCCCAAGTCATCCTTTAACCCCTTCCTCTGCCACATTATATTACCATCTGATATCTATATTTAGACTTATTATCTGTCTCCCTAAAGAGCTCTGGTGGCTAAATATTGGGTTGTTAGCTGAAAGGTTGGCAGTTTGAACCCACCAGTCACTCGGAGGGAGAAAGATAAGGTTATCTGCTTCTATAAAGATTGATAGCCTTGGAAACTCCATGGGGGCAGGTCTGTCCTATAGAGTTGCCATGAATCAGAATCAACTAGATGGCAGTAGGTTTCGTTTTCTGTTCTCTCTGCCTGGGATAGCCTTCCCAAGTTGTTTCCCCAACTAAAAATACACACTACATGAAAACAGGAACTTATGTGTTATTTACCACTACGTCTCCAAGGTCCAGAGAAGTGCCTAGATATTTAGTAAACCAAAACTAGACCCACTGCCACCGAATGGATTCCATAGGGTTTTCTTGGCTGCAGTTTTTACAAAGGCAGATCTCTAGACCTTTATCCTACAGTGAAGCTGGGTAGGTCTGGACCATTGACCTTTAGGTTAGCAGTGGAGTACATCGATTTGCACCACCCAGGGAGTAGTGCTCAATAAATATTTGTTGAGTGACTAAAGTAGGTCAGGTGACATTTCAGATCATCTGTGATGATCTGTAATAGACAAGCACAAACCTAGTGCCCTGGAACTGTGGATTTTCTGGAGGAATAGGTTAGAGGCAATCAGGCTGGAGGTAGGGGGCAGTTGGAGGCTTGTTACATTGATCTAGGTCAGTAAAAGGGGCAGTAGTAAGAAACTGGCACACATTATACCATTGCCAATTTCCTGGTGTTGATATTGTACTGTAGTTATGTAAAATATAATCACAGGGAAACTGGGTGAAAGGTTCATAGGACCTCTCTGTACTGTCTTTGTAGCTTCCTGTCAATCAAATTATTTCAAAATTAAATTTTTACAAAGAGGAGGCAGGAGGGATAAAGAGGAAATAGAATCACATAGTGACTTCAGTGACTAATACTTAGGAAGTAAGATTTAGTAACGTAGCTAGATATAAGTGGTCAGGGGTAACTCTTAGGTTTCGGTTTTGAGTAACAGAATGGACAGGAGGTTATTAACTGAAGAGTGGAAGAAGCTGGCCAATTTTAAGCATGAGTTGCAAGTTGCCTCTGAATAGAAATGTATAGCAAACATTTGGATAAAAATATCTGAAGCACAAAGCTAGAATACAGATTGGTAAGGATGTCCTTAGCCTGTCTTAAGACCACACAGCCCTTTATTACCTGGACTGCCAAGGAGTAATAACACCATCATCAGGACCCCCAATCAGTACCAGGTGACCCACACGAAGAAAGTTCTTTCGCCATGCTGCAGGGTGATAAGAAGAGAGTTGGTCAGTCACAGAGGTCAGGCCAGTTTGCGGACAAGCATACAAGGGGTCAAAGAAGCCAGAAAAGGGACTTAGGTGGAAGCGTGGGGGTCTCACCAGTAGCATTGGGATGGTCTCTTTCCCCATTGATCAGGGCCAGGAAGCTGCTAGCATTGAGGTACAAGTCATCATGGTGAGGGTCTAAGTACAAAGATCAGTTAGCATGACAGAAGATTGGAGGCTGAAAGGCAAATCAGGAGGTTGCTCTAACAGTCAAAGTGCATAGTTGAGTAAGAGTGTCAATAATAATAGTAAAAATGATAACAAATACTTTCATCTAGTGCCTGCTATGTGCCAGGTACTCTTCAAAGTACACTGCATTCATTAATTTTTTTCATCCGCACAACCACCATGTGAGGTAAGTGCTACATTATTCTATTCAAATGAGGAAAACTGAGTCACAGAGAAGTACAGTCATCCAACAGGGTTGGGATTCAAACCCAAGGAGTCTGGCCCTGACACCAAGGATCTTAAATACTACATTAGGGGGTTTGCAAACTATGACACATGGGAAACATTCAGCCAGTGGCTTGTTTTTGATATAAAGTGTTATTGGAGGTCACATTCATTTACATATTAACTAAGGCTACTGTCGCACTACAACAGCAGAGTTGAGTACTTGAGAAAAAGATCCTATGGCCTACAAAGCCCAAAATATTTACTATCTGACCCTTTACAGAATCAACTTGGTGGCTGTGGGTTTGATTTTTGATTTACCATATTGGAGTCCTGGTGTGGCGCTGTGGGTTAATGTGCCAGACTACAAAGCCGTTTGAACTGCAAGGTAGGTGGTTCAAGTTCACCAGCTGCTCCTCAGAAACCCTATACAGGGTCGCTATGGGTTGGAATCGACTCAACAGCACTTCACAACAACAACAACATATTGGTTTGTTGACCCCTTCACTAGACTACACTCTCAAAAAATGTAATAAGGCAATACAACAAAAGCATTTTGAAGAGTTCCTGACACACAGTAAGTACTCAATAAATAAACATTACCACCATTGTCACTGTTGCTATATGGCAGAAGTAAAAGCAGAAAGCCTTGCCCTCCATAGTGACCTCTCCCATGAAGAACCCCCTCAGCTCACCCACTCACCATGCCAGTAATTGCAGATGGAAAATTCCTGGCCCCAGGGGCTATAGCATATCCGGTAAAGGTTAGACCTCATGGAGGTGGGGAACAGCCACTTCAAATAGTCTGTGTCTGGCAAGAGAACAGCAGTGCCAAGTGACTCCAAATCTGTGTTTCCCAAACTCAGGGGCCTCAATGGAGCCCACAGTGCTTATCACTCACCTCCATACTGTCCCATCTGTGGAGAGGAGAGGGAGATGAATGAATCCACATTGTGATCATCCATGACAGAGAGTAGCGCTCGGCACACAAGGCCCCCTATAGGTAGAACACCACAGTGGGTAGAGACTTGGGGACAGCCAGGCCAGCTGCATCCACCTTCCCCCCACCACACTGAGGTTCAGAGAAGACAGGTACATCCTAGGTGAATGAGCATGTAAGTGGCAGAGCCAGAATTTGATTCTGGGCCTCTTAACTCTATCTCCAGGGTGTTTCTTCAACTGCTCAGTTACCCCTGAAGTCAAAGAAAGGGGGTCAACCCCAGGAAACAGAAAAGAAGTGGGCAGCATCTCAGGGGGCCTTCTTCCCATTCAGGACACAGAGACAAGATCTAGTGTGAGGCAAGTCAGGAAAGAAGGACTCAGGTTCCAGGGCTCTGGCGGAATCAAAGTGGTTCAGAGAAAAGGAAGTGTCCCTCAGATGAGGATCAAGCTTCAGAGTTCAGGAGTTGGGGAGAGGGGGTCCTACCCTGTGAGTAGCAGATGAGATGTACTCCTTCAGGGGCCTTTGCCATGATAGGGGTCACAGCCTCTCGGAATCCTTGTACCTGTTCCCACAGGGGCCGCAAGCTCTCTCTCCCATCGAAGAGATCAAGCACTGTCACGGGAGTCCCGGGGTGTGTCTGTAGGGAGAGGGCAATGCAGCCACTGGGAATGGACTGTGAAGACCCTCCCACACTGACCTCTGGTTAGCATCCATGTGCCTGTGTCCTACTAAAACTAAGGATCCTGTTCCCTCACTCTCCCCATTTTCCCCAGCACCAGCTAACTGAGGAACTCTAGGAGCAGGACCAGAGGGGAGGCTTTCAGTCCACCCTACCCCACCCCACCCCCAGACTACCCAGTTATTTTACATGCCTCCAAGGCCCTCCACTAGGATGTCCCTTGCCAGACCTGGTTGATATATTCCAGCAGGTGGCGGAAGTTGTACGAGCTGTCGAAGAGCCCGTGCACCACGATGACAGGCTTGTAGGTGGCTCTGTGGGGCGCTGGGGTCGCAGGCAGCAGCAGCAATGGCAGGAACAGCAATAGGAACAGGATCCCTGTCGGAGGAAGCCACAGCCCCCGGAGTCCCAGCATGCTCCTGCCTGAAGAAGACGATGAAAGCCTGTGAGGGAAATGACAGCACCTCCTCCCTACGAAACAGACTCCCGGTGATCAAGCCACCCCAGTTCCCACCAGGACTTGTCACAGAATAACCTACTTTTAGGTCCTCCTCTCATTCCCCCTCACACACATCCCCTACCACGTACACACAGCAAGACACTCCCGAAGCTCCGCCTCCAACTCGGCACTCGGAGCACTCTGCCCCTAGGCCCAGGATCTTCCTAAAGATCGGGATTTTGCAAGACCCTTGCGTAGAAACCTAGACCCCTTGGAGAATGCAAACTCGCACCTGCCCTGGGTCCGCGGGCCACGCTCTGCCCGCTGTTTACTTCTCCCCAGGCTGGCACCCAAGGGGGAGGGGAAGGGTATGAGAAGGGAGCGCGCACGGGAATGACGGATGGGAGGGGGGAGTCTGCTCGGGGTCGCGCACAGCCGTCACGTCCGGGGCTTTCCCTGGCAACCGTGCAAGCGTCCGCAGCAACGCAGGCCCTGGACCGGAGGGGCAATGGAACGTTCTATTGCTCCCAAGGAGCGGGGGAGGAAATAGGTGGAATGATCCATTCAGACCATGGAAAGAGAAAGAAGCAGCAATACTATCTTGGAAATCGAAAAGGGTTTTCTTCAGGCCTCGCTGCACCCAGCGAGCCTATATCGCTGCCCACATTTCCCCTACTTCCCAGTACCAGGCTGTCCAGCTCCGAGACGGATGGCAAAGTTCTCCCTTCTCCCAGCAGGCGGGAGGTGAGAGGGAGGATGAACTGGGGAAAGGTGCCTGCATTTTTGTCAACGCCGGGTGAGTGGCGGGATGCCCTGAAGACTAAAGCCAGCTTGGGCCGACCCTGGTTCCCTGCCCCGATTGCCCGACCGCCCTAGTTGACCGTCTTACGACTCTTCATTCTGAAGTGCGTGTAGGGCCCTTGTCTACCGAGACGCAGAGTGTCCTCGAGGGCCCTTGAGCTAAGTGCGGTCTGGCCCAGTTTATCCTGCTCTTATACACCCCACCCCTCTAGGGGCGGAGGGCCCCGGAGCCACCCTGACTCACTCCTGCGTGGTTTCAACCACTCTCTACCCAAGCGACCCTCATAACCCGGGCCTTCAGATCTCTCTGTGGGCGGCACTCGACCGAGGTCCTCCCACCCAATCCAGACTTCCGGGCTCCAAGCGCACCCCCACCCCACCCCACCCCCACACACACCTAAGAGCCTGGGTTAGGCTTTTAAAGTCATTTCCCTTGAGAAAAGGAAAATGTCTAAATGTACCCACCACACATCCCCATCCCACCGCTCTGCCAGCTGGGACGGAGGTTGTTGTTAAGTGCCGTTGCGTTGGTTCCGACTCATAACGACCCTGTATGGGGAGTCCAAGAAACTGATGATGAGTTTGAACCACCGACGTTGTGGTTCAAACCGACCTTGAAGTCCAGTGCTTTATCCAACAGTTGCCACACTGGGGGGTGGAGGGGGGGTGGTGGAAATGGATGATTTCACAATTTGTCTGAATCTCTTCTTCCGTTCACAAAGCTCGATCTAAACGCTTCTTTCCTAATAAAACCAATTTTCGTCTTGAGTAACGCAAAATAGGGATAGGGTTAGCATAGGTAATAAGGGTTCACGCGAAGGTCTGAGGAACCAGGTAAGAGGCAGTGATTTAAGACTCGAGCTAGTGATTGGCCCGTACCAGGGCCTCGCAATAGTTTTGTAGTCTCCGCTTGGACACAAACCCAGAGAGCGACTGCCTCAGGCGGAGGCTGAGAAGTATTAATGTGAACTGAGAGGGTTGATGGGGGACAATAATGATTCTCTGGCTGTTTTCGCAAAAAGCCCAACTTGGGTTAAGTCTCGGAAGACCACCCACGCTCTCCCAAGACGCAATAAGCAAATAAAAAGATTGCAATAACGCTGTGCCCCAGGTCTCCTCTGGAGGTGGCGCTGCGACTCGACAGGGAATGGGGGTGGGGTGAAGGATGGAGGGGATTTAGTGAATGGAACTGAATAAAAGCTGCTCTGTGACTTTAAACAGCTCTAGAAGCAAAGTGGGAAAAGGAGAGGAAACAAGCATTCCCAAACTGAGCTAGCTGCCAGAAATGAACAGTTAATTCATCTCTTCCCTCTCCCAAAATGTTTTAGGTCCTCAGTCCTGACCATAGAAGATATCTTGTTGTTGTTGTTAAGTGCCTTCGAGTCGGTTCCGACCCATAGCGACCCTGTACAGGGTTTCCGAGGGTGTAAATCCTTACGGGAGTAGAAAGCCTCATCTTTCTCCCGCGGAGCGGCTGGTAGTTTCGAACCGCTGAGCTTAAGGTTCGCAGCCCGATTCGTAACCACTACGCTACCAGAGCTCCTTATAGAAGATATCTATGCATCCCCAAATCACTCCTCCGCAGCCCCGGCTACCACCAAATTATAGCTATACCTTCAGATTTATCCCAGGCCTGGGTGGTAGGTCAAGGCCATAGACCTGGAAACTTTTCAGACCATCAAAGGTCTCAACTCTGTATATAGTTCTCTCACACAATGTTGAGTGAGAAGCTAGGGCAAGAGTTTGGGAGAAACGTCTAGGGCTTTTCTTAAGGAAGCTAAAGAGGGGGCACCCGATTGGGGTGAGCCAGGTTCAGAGGAAACAGGGTATCTAATTCATCGAGCTCGCTTCCTCCCACAGTATAATCACTATAGCGGGGCTTGAAGGCGAAAGATTCAAGAGTTCTTTCCCTCCTTCCTTTGCTTAGTCCAACCCGACTCAGTGGGTCTGGCCTCCCAGTTTCCATGACAACTCCAAGGGAACCCAAACTGGGGGCATGAATGTCCGGGTGAGAGGAGAGAGGTGGTCTAGGAGCTGAAAGAGACAGAATCAGGGAAGTCTGAAGCACTCCCCCTCCCTCGCCTCGGTCCCTTTAAGCTTCCCCCCCTTCCCTGCTCCCCGCTCTCCCTCCGCCCCCCGCCGCTGTCTCCATCTCTCCATCTCTGCGCTGCTCACCGGCTGCGCCATCCGCTCACACAGACTCCGGAGCTGGTCAGGGACCCTGACTCTTGACTGCAGGGACCCTGTCCCAGACAGAACGCAGGCATGTCATCCGAAAAGTCAGGTAAAAAAACAAAAACAACAACCACCTCCCTCTTCCTCCACGGTCTCCCGACTCTCCCTCCCAGCCTTGACCCCAACCCCTTCCTCTAGTCCTCACCCCCACGCCCGACGGCAATTCGGTTTTATTCCCCTCTTCAGCCCCAGTCCCAATCCTCCTCCTCCTCTCTCTACCCCCTCCCTTCTCTTCTTTTCATCCTCCCAGCCTCCGTCTCTACCCCTAGCCATCAACTTGGGGAGGGGGGCATATGAAGGAGATGATACAAGAGTGGCTTAGTATCAGCCAGGTACTGCAAGGATAGATAGCATCGTTGGGAGTGCCAGATGGGCATTCACCGGCTGACAGAGATATCCAGTGGGGCAAAATGGAGACAGATTTGATGGGGGTTGTCAGGGAAATAAAATCCAGAGGATTCTTTACTTGTCTTAAAAAACACCCTGAGATTCCCGGAGAGGCTGGGGAACTCACTCCCCACTAAAGGAACTGCAGAGTGGAACATGCCATCCACATGTGTTTATACAACTGTTGAAATGAGCGCATGTTAACACTGTGGCATGTCTACATATATGCACACCGCACGACAAACTCAGAGAGGCCAGCCTCGAATGCAAGGACTGGAGATTGCATGTGAGAGCAAGTTGCTGGATAAGAGAGAGGAGCAGACAGTTGTGACCTCAAAACTAGATCGAAAGGAAGAAGGTGGGGGAAGATGGCCTAGATCTAACCCCTCTCCTGCCCCCAAAATGAAAGATTGCGTCTCACACGTCTGTCTCTTCCATTTTCTTTCTCCATCTCTGATCGTCTGTAATTTTCCTTGGCCCCTTCTTACTTCATCTGTCTTTCTTATCTCTCTCCATCCCCTCTCCCCCATTTGCGTGCCCCAGGCCTCCCGGATTCAGTCCCTCACACCTCTCCACCCCCTTACAATGCTCCTCAGCCCCCAGCCGACCCCCCCGCCCCGCCCCCTCAGACTGCCCCTTCCTCGCATCATCACCACCACCACCATTATCACCAGTCCGGCACCGCCACCCTCCCTCGATTAGGTGCCGGAGGCCTGGCCTCTTCCGCGGCCAGCGCTCAGCGCGGTCCCTCGTCCTCCGCCACATTACCGAGGCCACCCCACCACGCCCCACCCGGCCCCGCCGCCGGGGCGCCCCCGCCTGGCTGTGCTACTTTGCCCCGCATGCCACCCGACCCTTACCTACAGGAGACTCGTTTCGAGGGCCCACTGCCCCCGCCCCCGCCTTCCGCCGCCGCTCCGCCCCCGCCGGCGCCCTCCCAGACTGCTCAGGCCCCAGGCTTCGTGGTGCCCACGCACGCGGGAACGGTAGGCACGCTGCCGCTGGGGGGCTACGTGGCTCCGGGGTACCCCCTACAGCTACAACCCTGCACTGCCTACGTGCCGGTCTACCCTGTGGGAACGGTGAGTGCTGGGCAGACAGGGACTTGGGAGGAGGGCACGATAGAGCAGGACCTGGAACTGGTGTTACACTGAAGGCTGGTGGAATAGCGACAGGTCCTGGAAACACTGAGGTCAAGGCTTAGAGAAAACAGACCCAAAGGACTAGAACTAGACATGGAATTGTGGGTGGTAGTGGAGCAGGGAAGCCAGTTTGTATTCGACGTCTGGGCCTGGAAGAGAGCCTGGAGGTTGGGTAGAGATTCTTCAGACACATCTGTATTGAGGGCACTTAACGTTCCGCGGTAGAAAGACGAGGCTTTCTGCTCCCTAAAAGATTTACAGCCTCGGAAACCCTATGCAGGGTCGCAATGGATCGGAATCGACTCGACTGCACTTAACAACAACAACCTAGGAATTGGAGTCTAGATGTGGCGCTGTGGGTTAATGCTCCAGACTGCAAAGTCCTTTGAACTGCAAGGTTAGCGGTTCAAGCTCACCAGCTGCTATTGGAAACCCTATACAGGGTCTCTATGGGTCGGAACCGAGTCAGAGACACTTAACAACAACAACAACCTAGTGATCTTCTGGCTTTAGAGGTCAGGTTTGGGGAGAGGGGAACAACCTTGAGGTTCAGAGTTGGCCTGAATAAAGGAAACAGGCTGCAAGAAGAGGAAGAAAAAATGATCATCTGGACACCCACAGGGTTTGAGTCCAGGTGGGTGTGTCTGGAGGTCTGGCTGCGTAGTGGTTATGAGTTGGGCTACTAACCTCAAGGTCAGCAGTTCAAAACCACCAGCTCTTCGATGAGACTTTCTGCTCCTGTAAAGATGTACAGCCTCAGAAACCCTATACAGAATTGCTATGAGTTGAAACCAACTCCACGGAACATCACCAGCTAACCAAGTATGCCTGGAGGGAGGAGAGCCTTTAGGAGAAAGGGCCTTGGGCAAGGCCTGGGAGCTCAAGCTTGGGGGAAACTACTGAAGTGGGGTTGTAACTGAAAGGGTCATGACTTAGGGGAGAGAGTATGGAGACCAGAAAGAATATGGAGGTTAATGAGGCAGTGAAGGGAGGAAACCTAGACTAGATTTATGGATGTCCTGGAAGGTTCATAGGCGATCAGGTTCTTTGAGAAATTCCAGGCAAAGCCTGTGCTTTTTAAAAACACTCAGCCAACCGCGTGTGGTAGTGGAATGGAGAGAGTCGGAGTGACATCCCCCTCCCCCAATCTTCCTTCCACAGCCCTACGCGGGTGGGGCCCCGGGGGGAACGGGGGTGACCTCCACGCTTCCTCCGCCGCCCCAGGGTCCAGGGCTGGCCCTGCTGGAGCCGAGGCGCCCTCCGCACGACTACATGCCCATCGCAGTACTGACCACCATTTGCTGTTTCTGGCCTACGGGTATCATTGCCATCTTCAAAGCAGTGCAGGTTTGTGTTGGGGGGCGGGGGAAAGGCGGGGAGCAGGGAACAGTGTGGGGGTGAGTTCAATCAGTGTTCATTCCCTGGGAGTAATGAACATTCCGGGGAGTGTCTTAAATGAAACCTTCCCCAATCCTCCGCGGCAGGTGCGCACTGCCTTGGCCCGTGGAGACATGGTGTCGGCGGAGATCGCCTCGCGCGAGGCCCGAAACTTCTCCTTCATCTCCCTGGCGGTGGGCATCGCGGCCATGGTGCTCTGTACCATCCTCACCGTAGTCATCATTATCGCTGCGCAGCACCACGAGAACTACTGGGATCCCTAAGGACACCCCCGGCTCCGTCCCATCCAGCGCCCCTCGACCTCCCAAGGGCGTTCTGTAGTCACGCCGCGGACCCACTGGGCAACCTGCTCGTCTGCCTCTGGTGTCTCCAGACGCGGATACATCCTAAACTCGGCCTCCATGGAACCTCTCGCCTTGCGAGCATCCAGTTCCTCAGGAACTCTCCCCCAAAGCCCACACCCCCAGGGACGCCGCTTCTCGGGATCCCCGCCAGATGCCTGGCCTTTAATCCCTGCGGGCCCCCAGCCCCATTAAGTGCAGCGCCCCGAGCCAAGAGCCCTTGGCCTCAGCTTCGCAGCCTGGAGACTGGTCCCCAAAGCCCCGCCTCCTTTGTAGACTCATCGTTTGCTCTGACAAAACCCCGCCTCCAGGTCGGCAGGCTCCGCCTTCTTTTCCTTCCCGCGGGGTGAGTCTGTGCGGTGGTTGAATTTATACTCCCCAGCTACCCCCACCCCTCAGATGGACAAGTTCCTCCCCTTCTCCTGGCTGTTTGAGAGCCTGGGATAGTTAGTACCCCCCCACCCCCCACCCTTTTGCTGATACAGTCTCTTACCTTCTCTACCCCAGTGTCCAACTATTTTCTTGCTAATTCCAGAACCTCTACTTTTTTGGAGTAAAATTTGGAAGTTTCCGTCTTAGAGTCCTTTTCCCTGGGATGAGAAACATGTTCCTGTTCTCTGTAAATACTCCCTCCCACTCATTCCAGTCCCTGGGAGACCAGGCAGAAAGGATTCCTGACCTCCCAACCCGGGAGGGAGCTGGCCTACACCTCACTCTCCTTGGAGGTCCCTGCCTTGTTCTGGTCAGTGTGTGCGTGTGTGAACTTCTGAAAGACACTATTAAAGAGACCACGTGGATTTACCACCTGCAGTTCCAAAGATTGCAGCTGCAAAGATCCTGCCCTTCTTTTGGCTCCTCCTTTCACTTCTCATTTCTCCTTCCAAGGAGAAAAAAAAAAGAAAAGAAAATTGACAGACAAGTGTGAGGAAACATTCACAGGCTACCAGAGAGACAAATAAAAAAAGGAGAGACAGAGAAAGCTTCCTAAGAATCTACCTAGAAATAACTTGGGGTCCATCACAACAACAAACTACAATTAGACTGGGTTTAGGGTGTTGGGGAAGGGGAGTTTACAAGAAGACTCAGAACTCCAGAAAGATGGGAAGAGAAAGAGGACAAACTACTCAAGGAGTTAATTGGTCAAGGATGAACTGGCAGGGACAGGGTAAAAATGCCAGCTGTCCACAGCTGTTCTCTTGTACTAGAGACCCATGTGGTGTGTAAGTGACATAAAGAAGGCAAATGGGGCAGAGGCAGGAAGATAGTAGACTTAAGTACAGCTGGATCTGCCCTGCGGTAACCAGGAGAACTGGAGGCCAGGGAGACTGGACAAATATCGTGGGCATTGTGGCTGGGGTTGTACCCTATAGGACAGGATGTTGTTGTTGTTGTTGTTAAGTGCCATCGAGTCGGGTCCGACAGGATAGGATCCTAAAAAGCTGGCCCTGAATTTGTGCATTCAGGGGACATACAGACACAGTAAGAGTATGATGAAACAACAGCCCAGACAGCAGATGTGACCCTCATGGAGTTTCCAATTTGAAAGAGAAGTCATGTACTGAGATGGGGAACACAGAGGAGGGTGGGGTGAGGTGTGGAAATCTCAGGTTCTCCTTTGGACATTATGTATTTAATGTGCCATACTCAACAAACTTCTCAAAAATGAATTCACATTTGCAGCGTTCACTTCCTTACCACCTACTCACTTTTTTTTTTTCTCTCCTTACATAGGGAGCATTGTTATCAGAGATGTGTCTGGTTCTATCTTTTCTTTCACACTCATTATTTCTTAACCCCATGCAATCTGTTCCCACTCCCTACTTTACTGAAACTATTCACTCAAGTAATAATACCCAAAGACCAAAGGTTACCAGGAGCCAAAATTAGTGACATTTTCATGGGAGTCTGTTTCCTTGAATCTTCCCACATGTGTCCGTTGATCCTGAATTTCCCACTCGCTGGGATTCAGGAATATCTCCACTAAATCAGCCCCAAAACAGAACTAGTACATTCCAACTAAAGGTGAGCACACTGTGTGTCTGTCAGAGTAGCATTGTGCTTATAGGGTATTCAATGGCTACTTCTTTCTTTTTTTTTTCAGAACCATAGATCACCAGTCCTTTCTTCCAAGCTGCCTCTGGGTAGACTTGAATCTCCAACATTTTGGTTAGCAGCCTAACATGCCAACCATTTGTACTACCCAGGGACACCTCACCCTCCATACAAACATCTAATCTTCCCTTCCTATCCTTACCGTTTGTTTTGCTCTCCTTCCTTATTCTAAGTGTCTAATCTCTGACTTTTTTCTTAGACTTTCCCTTGAAAAATGGATCTACTTCAAATTTAGCCATCACTTTTTAACTAAATGCTTCCCTGATTTATATATTTACATGTAGACATTCTGGCAGTGTCTACAGAACACACTGCCACATGGATCATCCTGCTGATCCTCCAAACTTCAGCATGCTGCAAACTAATCTGATGAAATTATATCAAAAACCTTCCTTGTCTGTTAATTTTCTGAGTCACTCTTATCTGAAAACGATTGTTGTTAAGTGTCACTGAGCCAGTTCCAAACCATAGCAACCCTGTATAGAGTTTCCAAAGAGCAGCTGCTGAGCTTGAACCACCGACCTTGAGGTTCTAATGGCTTTGCAGTCTGGCACATTAACCTATAGCACCACACCAGGACTCTGGCATACTGTTGTTGTTGTTGTTGTTAGGTGCCATTACATTGGTACCAACTCATAACAACCTTACGCACAGCAGACCGACACACTGCCTGATCCTGGGTCAACCTCACTATTGTTATCACACTTGAGCAATTGATGTTGCCACTTCACCAGTCCATCTCGCTGGGGGTCTTCCTCTTTTTCTCTGACCTTCCACGTTAACAAACATGATATCCCTCTCCAGAAACTGTTCACTTCTAACAATATGTCCAAAGTATAAGAGACGAAGTTTGGCCATCCTGGCCTCCAAGGAGCACATAGGCTGCACTTCTTCCAATACACATCTGTTGGTTCTTTGGCAGCCCATGGCACTATCAATATTCTCCAACACCAAAACTCAAAAGCATCAATTCTACGGTCTTCCTATTCACTGTCCAGCTTACGCATGCATATGAGGTTATTGAAAATACCATGGCTTGGGTCAAGCGCACCTTAGTCTTCAAGCTAACATCTTTGCTCTTCAACACTTTAAAAAGGTCTTGTGCAGAATATTTGCTTAATGCAATATGTCGTCTGATTTCTTGGCTGCTGCTTCTGTGAGTGTTGATAGTTGATCCAAGAAGAATGAAGTCCTTGATAAAACTTCAATCTTTTCTCCATTGATAAGAATGTTGTTTTTTGGTCCCGTGGTGAGGATTTTTGTTTTCTTTACATTGAGATGCAATCCATACTGAAGGCTGTGCTCTTTGATCTTCATCAATAAATGTTTTAAGTCCTCTTCACTTTCAGCAAGCAAGGTTGTATCATCTGCATATCACAGGTTGTTAATGAATCTTCTTCCAATCCTGATGCCGCGTTTTTCTTCATAGAACCCAGCTTTTTGGATTATTTGCTCAGCATACAGGTTGAATATGTATGGTAAAAGAATACAACCCTGTTGCACACCTTTCTTTATTTTAAACCATTCAGTGTTCCCACGTTCTGTTCGAACAGCTGCCTCTTGGTCCATGTACAGATCTCACATGAGCGCATTAAGTATTCCGGAACACTCATACTTTGCAATGTTGTCCATAGCTTGTCATGATCCACACAATCGAAAGCCTTTGCATAGTCAATAAAGCACAGATAAACATCATTCTGGTATTCTACGCTTTCAACCAAGATCCATTGGACATCAGCAATGATATCCCTCATTCCATGGTCTCTTCTGAATCCATCTTGAACCTCTGGAAGTTCTTTGTCAATGTATGCTTGCAGCCATTTCTGTATTACCTTCAGTAAAACTTTATGTGCATGGGATATCAAAGATACTGTCCAATGATTTCTGCATTCCGTTGGGTCACCTCTCTTTGGAATGGGCACAAATATGGATCTCTTCCAATCAGTCAGCCAGATAGTCGTCTTCCAAATTTGTTGGCATGGATGAGTGAGTGCCTCCTGTGCTGCCTCACTTTCTTGAAAGATTTCAATTCTTATTCCATCAATTCTTGGTGCCTTGTTCTTTGCCAATTCCTTCAATACACCTTAGACTTCATCCTTCAGTATCATTCGTTCTTGATCATATGCTACTTCTTGAAACGGCTGAATATCAACCATTTCCTTTTGGTACAGTGACTCTGTGTATTCCTTCCATCTACTTTTGATGCTTTCTGCATCACTCAATAATCTGCCCAAAGAATCCTTCAATAATGAAAAGTCAAGGCTTGAATTTTTTCTTCAGTTCCCCTAGCTTAAAAAATGCTGA